CAATTGGCAGGAACGGTATCTCCTTTGTTTGGTCGAGTTGATCAAATGCTTCCAGAACAGCAGAACAACCTTGAAGTCGACCTTCGTGCTCTCCACATCGTTTAATCTCAAAAGGAATCAAGATGGTATGTATAAAGGTTTTAATTCAAGGAATTATCTGACATTCTGCTCTGTTTAGGCTCGTAATGAGGAAAAGGCGCAGTCAATGTTGTACCGCTTTCGCGAGGCTCAGGCTGCTGAGCTCGGGTTGGGAACACGAGCGGACCGTCGACCACGAATGGCCAGCGCGTGCAAAAGCTTGAGGGACTGTGAGAGATGGAGAGGAGAGATATTAAGGGAGATTAGTAGAAAGGTGTCGAAGATTCAAGATGGTACGTGCTGGTCATCTAAGAGCAAATACGAGTCTAATTCTCTGTCTCCAAATTTAGCGGGCTTGACCGACTATGAAGTTCGAGATCTTAACGACGAGATTAACCAGCTTATGCGTGAAAAACGGCACTGGGAAAACCAAATAGTGGCCTTGGGCGGTGCAAATTATCGGAGGAATGTTGCAATGTTGGATGACGATGGGAAAGAAGTGCCCGGTACCAAAGGCTACAAGTGAGGAAATTCTCCAAGCAGCAACTGTTCCTCAACTTAGGACTCTACCTTAGGTATTTTGGACGTGCCAAAGACCTTCCGGGCGTTCGAGAATTATTCCAGAGTCGAAAGGCCGAAGAGGAAGAAGAAAATCAAGCACTTGCCTATTACAAGAAGTTTATGAACCAGGGACCTTCTTACTATGGCGATCTGGACGAAGTGGATGGTAAATTACTGAAGTATGAACAGGAAGCGGAGGAGGAAGGTACGTTCAACATGGTCATACACCTCTCCTTCACAGGGTTAATATTGTTGCCCGCAGATTGGGAAGAAGCCTGTATTAATTTACGAGGAGCCCTTGGCCTGCCTGAGGACACATCGACGCCGAAAATCCCCCGACCAACAGCGACGACGCAAGTCATCGAATCAAATTCAAGTCGCCCTCCGCCTTCATCAAAACGGAAAGCTCCCAGTCAAAATGAAGATGTAGCAATGGATTCCGTTACGGTCGACGACTCTAAAAAAGCGAAGATAGTGCCGGATGGCACAGCTGCTGGAAAAACAGTCGCTGTACCACCGGCCGCAGATGCATCCCGCCTCCACGCTCAAGCCGCAGCTGCTTATATTCCCTTCCTTGACGTTGAACATCTTCTTCCGCCGAAACTCCCCACACATAACGAAATGGAGGGTGTGCTACTGGCGCTAAGGAAGAAGGCTCTTGTAGAAGAATACTTCGGCGATGCGACATGAATGCTCATGTCCTACCTTTTTTGCGGCTGCATGTAATCACACACACATTTCAACACATGACCGTCATGCCATGTCTTGCGCCCGCGAACGTTCCAAGACCTCCCGTGTCGGTATGTGTCAAGCCTACTGTCTGTTGGTATCTGTTGTGTTACCAATACGAGTCAGCTTTCCTCATCGTTTGGGACGTGCTTGCGACGGAAACCGCTAGTATCATATCATGTCAGGAGTACATTTTCCAACGAATATGTTATCACGTTGATTGCAGCTGCTGCATCTACACTGGATCGTTTGGTTATTGTGTTCAGATGCCTACTTACCGCTGTTGAGATATTTTACTCAAGCCGCAGGGAGATCCGAAAGTATTTTTTCTCGTCTTTTGGGACTCAAGTTTATTTTTTCTAGAACATCGTAAAGTTGCGGATAGCTCGGCTGGGGATAGTACTTGCTCAGCAAGCATGCGCCGTGCCTTCTCCGACAAGTACACTATCAACGAATCTCTTCAATCGTCCAGCGTTCTCATGAACGTGGTTTCCTGCAAGATCCTTACCCGCGCCACGATCTGTAAATTGGTCCATCTCGGCATGTTCGGGAGCGCTAAGTGCCCACCGAGAATGAAGGATCAAGTGCGAACAATGCGGAACCACCTATAAAGCTCACAGTGACAGTTCCCCCCTCCAGATCGATGAGTTTGGGGGAGTGTAGCCGGCCGAACTGCGATCTCGATCATGAAGGGATGGGAGATGGAGCAGCCAGAACAGTCGTCATCCACTGACAGTCCAAAGCACACAATTCAATCCCCAGCTTTTTTTACCCCTCGATTCCTGGACTAAACTCTGAAAACTCTCCTTCTCCCGTCGGAATAGTAGAGAAAGGAGCTCATCGCGAAATCCTGTTGCTCGTGTGGCAGCCCATCGAACGGCGCCACTCTCCTTTACCCGCCCCCGAATTTCGAGGATCAACGCCATTCTCAACGCGTTTGAGGAGTGTTGACGGATCCGATTTACCAGGAAAGCTCATGGTGCGTTCGACCTGCCCGAGAATCCCGATAACATACTTAACCTCATTCTGTAGTACTGTTTGGATATGCGAAAAATCTCTGCAAATGAGCGAGAGTTGTTGATTCGGCTTTTTGCCAACGTCGTTTTAAGCTTTTTTCCCCCCCTCCCCACAAGGTTGACCGTTTTTGACAATTCAAGCACCACTTTAGGTTTTTAATGCCGGTCGTGCATTCTATTTGCTGACCGTGGTGGATGCAAATGATCACTAGCTCGAACGTTAGATCATCGCTCAAAGTCCAAGCGGACCTGCGAGTTCAGGCGGACATGGGAATTTGGTGGGACTCAGAAACCCTCTCTATGCCGTCCGCGGAGCCGTGTGCCCAATCGCGAATTCAGGAATACTCTGGCGGGTAGTAGTCTCCTCTGCGCCCCAACTCTATTTCAAGCCCATGCTGCAACCTCATCTGCTTACTTATCTTCCAGCGGGCTCAGAGCTACTTACTTCTCATATGGTCCCAAGTTTTCCCCATTTCGCGTGCATCGGTTCTCGTAAGTTGTTCCCATGGAATTTGCGGGGTTGAAGATGTAATAACGGAACTGCTTTAGATATAGCAAAAGGCAGCCTCAGCCAGTCTTGGACGATTTTTTTTGAGGCTTTCATCATCGGCTCTTGAAGATCTTAAAACTCAAGGATCGCGGAGGACGGATTCCGGGCGCGACAACCATAACTGCACTGATTGGATCAAGGTCTTGCAATTCAATTCAAACGATAACGATGTCCCAAGTGCTAAAATTTTGCGCCATGGTGGCCTGTATCCCCTGTACCTGTATGATCCCATAAACATTTAAAGCCTCAGGTTTCGATGGTCAGTTTCACTTTGTCTTTCCCCGTTCTCCTCACTCGCATAAAATGGGTCGATACATCGACGATGAAACCTCCTTCCTGCTGGGTCACGAACCCAGGATCGCGCCTCCAAAGTTTCCACTGGGTCTGTTCCCCGCGTCCATGCAACCCTATTTAGAGCTCATTCGACTCGAAAAGGTTTTCAAACCACCACTCTCCTTGAAATTTTCCTGTTTCCTAACTCGTTCTGTTTATCAGCCCACGGGCACCATTCTCATGTTTTGGCCATTCGGTATGCTTTTTTGCAGACTGAAAACTTCGAATATAAAGCACTGATTTCGTTCTCGTCATGCCAGCGTGGGGCCTGACGATGGCGGCATTCAAGATTAATCTCCCTTTAACAAGCTACGGCTTCGAAATTGTCAAATGCTTTATGGGCGCCTTCATTTTACGAAGTTCGGCCTGCACTGTGAACGATATAATTGATATGAATATGGACGCTGGTGTCGGTATGAACTGTTCAATTGTTTAGGATTGATATTTCCGAAGAGCTGACATTCCTTTACCGAAGAACGCACACAACACAGGCCTCTACCCAGTGGTCGTGTATCCGTATTTGCCGCTACAGTCTATCTGATAATGCAATACGCCATCGGAGTCGTGTTCTTCTATCTTGCCTTTTCTAACCTCGCGTGAGCTCTCCCAATTTTATGTCGCTCTCTATTCTTCTAAACTAACTCTCCTCCCCTCGTCATCCAGTCTCTGGGCGGCTTTGACACAGCTCCTACCAATGCAAGCAGGATTCAAAATCGTGTCTTTTTCGTCGTGGCTGAGACTCATCTTTCGTACAGCTTCGCGATATACCCTCTTCTTAAACGAGTCACATATTGGCCACAAGCATGGCTCGGTATCGCCATGAATTTCGGGTTCATTACAGCTTGGATGGCGTTGACGAGCAGCGACACGGTTTCTAATATTCCATTGGTCGTCGTCGCCATGGCTGGATGCTGGTGGTCGGTAACGTGGTTCTAATACTCCCCTTAATCGTTGTGTTCATTCCACTCTTGTTGTTTTAGCTGGACGATGCTCTATGGTTCGTTCACTTCTTATCACCATGAATTGAAAAAATAAATGCCGTTTTCGCTTTGCAGATACCATCTATGCTTGTCAAGATATTCGAGACGACATGAAAGTAGGCGTACGTTCCACCGCCATCCTATTTGGGACGTGGATTCGCCCTCTCCTCGTCGGGTGCGGGATTACATTCCTAGCCATGCTTGCTGCAGCCGGGTATCTCAAAACGCAAGGACCTGCTTATTTTCTCGTATCCGTGGGAGGCACACTAGTTCACCTCGTGTGGCAATACCGTACCGTGGATTTAGCGAACCCGAGGAGTTGTTGGGGTGCGTCTATTTATTCCCAGTTTGTTCCTGCGTTTGGACTTCTAAGCCTTGACCTCTACAGAGAATTTCAATCGAAATGGCCAGCTTGGGTGGATAATATGGGGAGGTTTGATGATCGATTATTGTCTTCGGATCGTTTCATTGGATCAAATATAAGCGCCTTACTGCCCGTCCCCAATTCGGACCCTTTTTCGTTTCCTCATTTGCGGCGGTTGCTATTGGTGGTGTTCGGGAGGGCTATTGGGTATGGGAACGATCTTTACAAATGCATGTATTTTTATTCTTGGAAGACACTTATACCTCAGATATCGCCTTAATAATAACCTGTCTATCATTCGTAATTTTGACTCTAAGTCTCTCGAACAAAAGAATTTTTGGTGATGGAAGAATGGAATACTCTTGCAAGTTGCGTACGAGCAAAAAGAGTGGACTCTGTGGGATTTGAACCCACGACCTCATGCAGACGCTTTAATGCAAAGCATGCGCGCTAACCCCTGTGCTAAGAGCCCGTATGATCGATGTCCTTTGATATCAGTCACCTTCACCTGCATCATCTGCTTTGCCATATTTGGTGATCCCTCATTTTGTTTGCATTTTCAAGTTTAACCAACGTCTTGATCCCAACTGACATTGCCAGTCCACAATGGCCCCAAAAACTACCAAGACGACCAGTTCCAGTGCTAAAAGTGTGTCGGATGCAAAGGGCAAGAAGCCAACTCGGTCGGTCGTCGGTGCGCCTTCACAACACAACCAGTCGAGTCGAAAGGGAAAACGGGCTTGGAGGAAAAATGTAAACATCGAAGATGTGGAGGAAGTATTGGAGGGCATGAGGGCGGAAGAAAGGGTTATTGGGTATGTGGTAATTCTCATTTATTTTACTTTCAAGGATACTCAGGGTTTTTGAATGAAGGACGACTTTAAATAAGATGGAGGATGGCCAGCTCTTCCAGATCGATACCAAAGGGGACGAACGCAGTGCGTCTGGGCTTTTCTATTCAAAATATTGCATCGGTTGACCTGCGTCTTTCTTACCATCCGCCAGTTCGGAGTGCGCTTCCTCCTAGATTCTCATCGTCACAGTTGACATCGGCCAAAATTCTCGCCCAACGATCAGCTGTCCCTGCTGTCTTTTCTCGGGTGACCGGGAGTGGATCCAACAAGCGCAAGTCTCTGTTGAGCAGAGAAGAGAAAGAGAAGTTGATGCGGATCGCGAAACGACCACGAAAAGGTCCTTTCAACAGTATCATGGACCCCTCGGAATATGCTTCAGGCAGTGGAATCGTGGATCTCAGTGAAGCAGTGAAAGCCAGTGGAACATATGATGCATGGGCTCCTGAAGAAGTGGCAGAGATCAAGGACGGGTTGGAGAATGTGCAGAAGAAAAAGGCGAAGGTATTTTTTCTTCGGACATCCCCTCGTGCACATTTGCCTGACAACCACATTTAACGTAGCCACCCGTCTTCGCACAAACGAGAGACCTAATCGAAATTCCCGCAATTGTCGAACCTCACCAAGGAACATCGTATAACCCGCCTGTTGATGCTCATCAAGAACTTTTGGAGAAAGCAGCTGCACTCGAAATGAAGCGATTGAGGGATGCGGAGAAGATGGCCGAGGTAAAAACGAAAATGGAGGAGGCTAAGCTCACAGCAGAAGAATACGATATGAGCGTTGCTCCTGGCATGAAGGTGCAGGAGCTGCACGGAGACGAGGAGGAACAACCAGAAGAGGATGAGGAGGTTTCGACGTCCGCAAAAAGGGTGCCTGAACGGAAAACGAAGGCGCAGCGGAATAGGGCTGCTCGTTTACTCAAAGAGGTTAGTTTGACGCTGCCCTGCTCTATTCTTTCTCTAACGCACTTCTGTAGAAACGGGCTCTTGTTGAGAAAGCACAGCGGAAACGGTTAATGGCTTCAATTAACGAAGCCAAGGCCCTTCGAAAAGCAAATGCGCAAACCATGTCTGCACAGGAGAAGGAGCGCGAGGCCAAGCTGCAACTTTTGGCTGAGAAGCTAAAGAAACAAGGTCTCGCTGGTCAGAAGCTCGGGAAACATAAAGTGCCTGAAAGCAACGTTATCGTCCAGCTGGGTGAAGATCTTACCGAAAATCTGAGAGGCTTGAAGGTGTGTACACATTGCCAGTCCCGTTCCTTTTTGTGAACTCATCGATTATCCGCAGCCTGAAGGCAATTTGTTCCGGGATCGGTTCCAGAGTTTACAACAAAGGGCTCTCATTGAACCTAGGGTACCCGTTCTGTATGTTCTCTTCCTTTTACCTCTTCTTTTTCACTTCTCATCATGATTTTTTGCAGCCCAAAAAGGCGGAAGAACAGGATGATCGAGTACGAAAAACATGCTTGGAAAAACTTTGACCGCGAGTAGAATAGAGTGTATTTTGGAGCTCCAATGATATCCTTTCCGTCTGGCTGATATTACTTATGTACTATACTAGTCTCGACGCAAAACCCTCACACGTGGAACTGATGAACCTATGTACTGTACATCGATTTTCACCAGGAGAGTTTCATGGTTCCATATTAGGCAAGGACTTACATCGCGGCTCGCGTGTTGATCCAAGTCATCAAGGACCGCGACCATCTCAGAACCTTTAGACTCATTTCCTTCAGGTTTTGAACGGAAACATGGATATTGATCGCCTGGAAGAAAGCCAAGAAGTTATCCACAAAAACTATTCTCGAAGAGGCGCTGTTCCAGTGGACGATGGACACCCATTTGATCTCGAGGGATACATATCCAACTACTCAGGTATCTTCTTATTCCCTAATGGAATCCCATGAAAGCCTCTAAGCATTGCTATCTCAAACCACAGGTCGCACCGCCATTGACCGACTCATTCACATCATGATGATCTGCCCCTCAATAGCGCCGGACGCCTTCCAGCTCTGTGTGCAACATATCCACCAATCACGCGATCCAGCCCTATACCAGAACCTTTTGCAGGCATACGAGCAGCTAGCGACGTCCTCAGACCTCCCTTTGCCCAATATGATGGATCTCGCACAGCTAGACACGAAGTGGGCAGATGAAATTATGGAGAAGAACAAAGCGGATCGGGTGAAACTCGAGGTGGAATTGAAGACTTATAGCAATAACATGATCAAGGAGAGCATTAGGGTGTGTATGGGTTCTGTCTTTTCTGATGTACTGGTTAGTTGAACGTTTACATTGTAGATGGCCCATCGTGATTTAGGCGATTTCTATCGTGCTACGGGAGATTATGGCACTTCTCTAAAACACTACACTAAATCACGCGAATTCTGTACGACAAGCCAACACGTTCTTGAAATGTGCATGTCTATTCTTGAGGTAAGAACGTTCATTGTTTCAGGTACCCAAACTTAACGCCCTTCACGTTGTTAGCTTCTCATCGAGCAAAGAAATTACTCTCATCTCACTACATACGTCTTTAAGGCCGATGCAGCAATCGACGCCACCACCTCAGCGGCCGTTCCTGCTCCAGGGTCGACTCCCGCTGCACCACCGCCCGCAGCCACAGCAGGAAGCAAAAAGAAATCAGTGGAACGAGACAACGTCCAGGCCAAGCTCGATTTAGCCACCGCTCTGTCTCATCTCGGACAAGGATCGTACGAGAAGGCCGCCCAATATTTCTTGAGAGTTGACTCTCCGAGGGATCTGGGCGATTGGGTTGGAAAGGTGCGTTTTTTTTGAATAATGGTTTTCCTTTTCGCTGTTTTCCATGCTTAATATTCTACTTTCTGCTGACAGCTCATCGCACCTGGCGATATTGCGATCTATGGCACCCTCACCGCCCTCTCCAGTTTCCCGCGATCGACTATCAAAGCCCGAATCCTAGAAAACTCTGTGTTTGGGGCCTACATCGAGCAAGAGCCATACGTCAGAGAACTCATAGAAGCTTACATGAACAGCAACTTCAAGGTCGCTCTCGATCTCCTCAATCGTTACTCCGTACGTCTCTATCTTTCTTCGTCGCCCTATTGTGACCAATTCGATACTGACCTTGTCTCCCTGTTCTCTCGACTCCAACAGACACGCCACTTCGCCGATATCCACCTGTCACCACACGTCCAGGAGCTAACCGCTCACGTCCGGAACAGTGCTGTGGTCCTATACTTCCAACCATTCGCCTCGATCAAGCTCGAACGAATGAGCGCTGCATTCGGATGGTCCGTCGAGGAGGTCGAATGGCACGTCGTCAATCTGATACAAGCCGGTGAGATCCACGGGCGAGTGGATAGTCAGAACAAGGTATGTGATTAAAGAAATTTATATAATGAATGAGCCTGACCCGGTGCTGTGCTGTCCATCAAACAGATTCTCCACGCGAAGAAGACGAATTACAGAGATGAGCTATTCGCTCGCACCATCAAGGCGGGTACGGAGATACAGTCGGCGAATAGGAAGATTTTACTGAGGATGAGATTGTCAGTCCCGATTTCGTTGCTCTCTCTCTCTTAGCGCGCTAACTTTCTATTTTTTCCTTTCATCTTCGATCATAGACAACAAGCAGACCTCATTGTCAAAGCACCCAAAGGTTCCAACCACCCCAGCAACCTTGTGATGCACCCGGGCAATCCTGTGATGGCAATGGGTGCCCCAGAGTCATTTTTAATATGACGCGAGAATCATGAGATACTGTAGTTCTTGTCCTTTGACTTGATTGCTTTGAGTTGTAATGTAGTCGCTTTGCAGTTATGTACCAGTTTTGCAGTGATAAGCTTTCTTCGGATCTTCGACGTGTTCATATTTACATACATTAGCGTAGGAAAAAAGAATGGAGTCAAAACCAAAAATCCAATATGGAAAAACATACGTGGACACTGTGGGAGTTGAACCCACGACCTCACGCATATGCATCTAATGCGAAGCGTGCGCGCTACCAACTGTGCCAAGAGCCCATGACAATGTTGTCCGTCAATATTCAATAGACAGATTAGATGTTGTATGGGAAGAGCTGGTGTGATGGCGCTAAAACCGATCTACGTCGTCGCTAGCAGATAGCTGGGGAAAAACCTCAATCTCTTAACCTACCTGATCTCTCCGATGCTCCATCCCATCGGCGACGAAGTAGTCGTAGCTTCCTGGAATTTAGTATTCGGCGTAAATATCTATGAGTGATCCGCAGCTGCAAAAGAGGACGGGGAGTGGGACGGACTGCATTACGCTGACGAAAAAGATCAACAAGGGAGAGGGCACGGATGACATTGTGGGCAATAAGTAGAAAAAGGGAGAAAAAAGATTGCTATTTTCCCCTGAACCTGGGTGCACAGCCGAATACAAAGATATCGAGGGTATGATGGTAAGCGGTCTGGTATATATCGCTGTCGAGAAATCTAACATGTTCTCTTCGCATTCGTCCGCATATTCAGCTTCCTAGCCAACCCAATGGTTTCTCGGGCCAGGATGCGACAAAATGAGGATTTGAAATGATGTATGGCGCGTAAAAACGCGTTCTTGTCAAAGTCGGATCGATCGTCAATCAATACGTCCACCTCGAAGAGGATCTCAAAG